CAGCATTCGCAAAACGTTTCCTGGCGATCAACAATAGTAGATTATACGAAGACCAGCTGCAGTACTTTGCTTATCTTTTGACTTGGTCTGCGAGATCGGCAACCAAAAAATAAGAGTCTCTTAAAAATCTTCGGTGAGAGATGACTGGATATCTCAGTATGCATCTGTAACTATAGGTGGACCTAAAAGAGCGGGAGGGGGCCTTTCGGCATCTGTAATGCAAAAGATCGTGTCTAAAGCCAAAAAGGCCGGCCTTTCGGCACCAGTGATGCGGAAGATCGTGTCTAAAGCCAAAAAGGCCGGCCTTTCGGCATCTGTAATGCAAAAGATCGGGCCTAAAGCCAAAAAGGCCGGCCTTTCGGCATCTGTAATGCAAAAGATCGGGCCTAAAGCCAAAAATAAAACCTAAAGCAACTCTAAGTAGCAGTGTTACAACTCTATTCCTAGTTGCTGCGCTGTTCTAGGACGAGAAGGGGCTCTGCTCTCCCCCCTCCCAGAAACTTCGCTCCCCCTCCCTCTCCCTGCCCGCCGAGGAATCCGTCCTGAATGTGCCTGCGTACATAGCTATTTTTTTACAATTCATAATAAATTGGCTCAGGATTTTATCTGGCGATTTTTATTCACAGAATAGAATTGCCATAGGTCAAAATGAATGTTTCTTTTCAGCGACACTTAAGGATTTGGAAAAACTGGGAATTGGTCGGGTACGTGAAGGACTACGTGAAGCTGTCGCGCATGTTGCTGGTGTTTCTGTACTTCGAATTGCCAATTTCTTCGTATGTTTTCGTGATTTGTTTTTTCATTTATGTGATCTTTTTTTTCAATTTTTAACAATTATTTTTTCAAGTTTGGGTATCTCAGTATGCATCTAAAACTGTAGTTTGCTGTCGTCTTAAAAATCATAATAATTTTGCTCAGGAATTTGCTGACTGGCAGAGAAATGTGGTTTTTCAATATTCATTTCACTTTTTAGAAGAGCTGAAAAGTTCTCACTGATGGGCCTGTCTTCAAAAAAAAAAAAAAAAAAAAAAAAAAAAAAAAAAAAAAA